CTCCGCCAAAATTTAGCCTTTATAATTTTTTTTTTTAGAAATTAGAGATTATTCTTCGACCACTACTTTGACCCAAAAATCCAAATGTGAAGAAAATAGCCGACCCGAAGGTATACTGTAACCTTAAATATTTTTAGCTTGTTCGGATCTCCAGCGACCCTGGAGCATAAGTAATAAATCTGTCTAAGCCACCTGATCTAGGTAGATTTTGTGCTATGAAAGTCGCTCCACCAGCCCTGAGACTGTGAGTGCTAAAGCCATTAGAATCTATCTCTATGGCTCACAGGGATTTATTAATTAATTCCCTAGCCCTACTATAACTAAGTCTATTAGGGCACAATAGATAAATATTTTTTTTCTTGAAAAACCTTGTTGCCCTAAAAATATAAACTGAAGAGTTGTTCTCGATTCTAGTGGAAGCGAAATAGCGACAAACAAGAGCGTGGGGGCAAGTACCTAAATATCTATTATGTATTGTTACATCTGCGGCCTGTAAACCCAATAACTCGCTTATCCTAAAGGGGCCATGAAATCGTAACACAAGTAATAAGGCTGAACGCAAATCCTTAAGAGCAGCTTCGCCTAAATATCAACTAGAATTGGAAACAGCGAAATAATCGAATTTGTTCAAACTCGCCAAGAATGAAGCCCTACGGGCGCTAGTCATAAAAAGTCTCACTGCAATGATATGACCAGACCACGTGGGGGACCCTTATAGGGAATTGTGGTGCCACCCGTCGTTCTCCTGTCCAAAGTGCTTTAGTTTATGTCTCACTCTAGGGCTAAGGGCACATTAGTTCTACCATATTAGCCTTCTGCCCCTTTTGGCCTCTTAGTTCGGAATTTTTGGGTGTTTGTGGTTGGTTACCAGTTTTTCGAAGGTGCCTTGTCCCTTCGTCAGGGGCGCAACAAAAAGCTTGAAAAAATGCGTCCACGCCAGATGTACCTGGATTCCAGAAACTAAAAAAGGTCTCGGAGCTTTGTAATTGTAAAACGTGGCAAAACAGTCAACAGTATGTGGACCCCGTCAATTGCCTTGTGGTTGGAAAATCTCGGGAACAATTTCCCAATCATAGTAGTCAACGATTTTACTAAGATAGTCTTCTTTCTCGTTCAGGGAGTCCGAGATCCAATCTATCTCCAAATTGATTCCGTGGTTGGAACAAAAGGAAAATATGTCCGAAGCTAATAAATGCAGGTCGAAATGCCTACTACCAACCTGCAGAATTCTAGCCGCCCCTTGGTTGTTGGTAAACTATTTTACCCGGGAACTGGAAAGAAAGGGGCTCAGTGCATCCAAAAACAAATTGAATAGTTGCCAACTCACGATACGTAGAACTCAGCGTCCGTTCTACATTCGTGAACATTCTATGGGGGAAAATAACTCTCCCAAGAACATGGTCACTGCAAGCCACATCGCTAGTGTCCCAATAAACTGAAATAAATGGAGGATCACAACTGAATACATCCCTGAAATTAACACGATGAAGATTATCCCTCCAGAATTTAAGCTCGACAATACAATATCTGTCTAAAAGGGAAGGAGTACTCATTCTTGCACTGCTGCGACAGAATTTGGCAATGCTTGGTAATGATCCTGCTCAGGTTCCTTAAGACAGCGCTCATAGGTTAGGGTGTGAAAGTGCCTTATCAATATGCGCTAAGCACTTCTGCAACCGGGTGTCAGTAATACTGATGACACCCTGAACTTCATCCCAAACAATCCCCAACCCTGTAATAACTTGATTAGGGGCCCAGACACACTTATCCACGTTGGCAAGAAAACCAGCCGAGTTAGAGTCTGATTTAATGATATTTGATATTAGCGCTAGGGGGAGCTTCGCACCGTTCTGCGTCCAGAGCATCGTCCAAAAGCAACAGAATGTATGCCCTGAGACCTCCAATGTTTAACCCACGGTCTAAAGAGCTTCGTGAATACATAAGGAGCCGAAGATAAACTAAAAGGGAGAACAGTAAACACGAAAAATGTTGTGTCCCCATTAGGAATAACCCAGCTGAAACCAAGGTAAGGCTGGTGTTCAGGAAAAATATCTAAGTGGTGATCGATAACCGCTTTTTAGAGAGCAAACTTCGCAAAAAAACCTCTTAAAAATAATCTAGGCCTACCCTCCAGTCCTCAAATTTATCAGACGCTTCTTCCGAAAACTTTGGACCGAAACCGAGAGAGGGTTAACAACGTTGAGATGGGATTTTGCAAATTGAACAGCCCTGTTACTAGAGACTTCAAAACTCCAAAATAGCCTCATGAACAATTTCAGCATGCTTGAAAGCCGAACGCTTGTTCTTAAACGAAGCACCTCAAGGAGTAGTGTAGAAAGATAATTTGTAACCTTCTTTGATACAGTCAGTAATAAAAGCAGAGGCCTGAATATCTTGCCAGAAACCGACGTGGGCTCTAAGCCTACCCTTAACATTGCATTTCATGGAAGGGCCCGACTTGCCCGATTCTACCTCAAAATCATGTACAGAGCTGTCTACCTTAACAAAGTTCTCAAAAAAACGCAGGTGTCTCTTCATTATTGATGATATCTACATCATTGTTCTGACTTGTTTGGCTGGGTCCCGGAGGAGCTGAATGAGGTGTTTTTAGCTTGCGTCCTGATGCTCCCATACTTGTATCCGTCCCCGTATCTTGTACCGTCGGCGCTTCGATGCCTTTTTTTCTACCGCATCGGAAACACGTGTCCGACTGAGAAGGCAATCGACGGCCTGAAATTGAAAACACGAAAGGGGCACAGAAATAGCAGAAATACGAAAACGAAATTATAATCATAAATGTACCTTTCTCCAGATAAACGAGGAAGTAGATAAATAAAGAAAAACTTTCCTATGCGAAAACCCCAGCACTGACACAAATGTGTTAGCGCAAAGAATGAAATGCTCACACTAAACTTCCGAAGGAAAATACATATACATACATAAACTTCATTTCACGTGTCAAAACATTTAGCCGATGGGGTAATACCCCTCTACTAATTGAGTACACTTAAAAATTTACTAATTATTGACTGATAAATTACTGAAAAGCCTACCAGAAATTAACCAAGGAGATAAATTATTAAAGAAACTAACAAGAAAAAAAATAGAATAGAAAAAAAAAAAAAAATACGATGCAATTTGAGCACTTGTCGTCTTCTACCAACTCACTTAAATCACATTTACGAATATGATTTTTAAAGCTAATTAGTGATGGTGGGGTTCCAATTTCGCTGGGTAGCTTATTCCACAACTTTGGTTCCGGGTAGGTGACCGAATATTTACCATATTTTTGTTCTTAAATTCCGGAATGGCGAACTCCGCCACCCTTAAGTTGGAGGGTGAGCAATGCGTGTAAAATGACTCGCATATTCTGGCGGGGCATAGTTTGTGTCTTCACCTTATACAAAAGGATAGCAATATCTTGCAGTCTTCTATTTTGAAGCGTAATTACATTACTTTTTTCCATCAATACTCAGTAGCTTGATTGCTTATCTAGAAAAACTGCGCCCAGTGCTCTCTCTTGAATCCGTTCGAGCTTTCTTTTATCAGTAGCACTACAGAAATGCCAAATCAGGTGGCAATAAGTTAAGTCAGGCAATATGGCTGATTTACACAGAGTTAATTTAGCATTGGTAGGAATAAGCTTTTTAAGCCTCATTGTTATGCCGACCCTTTGACTCGCCTTCTTACAAATTTTATTAATGTGAGTATTAAAATTCAATTGATTGTCTATGGTGACTCCAAGCAACTTAAGACAGTCGGAAGACTCAATGGTATTTCCAAGTGTAATTGATTTACAGGCTGAAGCGATAAATAGTTTAGTTTTTTCTTGGACAATTTTGTACAAATGGGCAATGAAAGTGTGACTGAAATTAATTGTTGCTTATTTATCCTAATTGCTTGCGGAATGCAATTATTTCTACCTTGATAATGTCTTGTTTCTATTTACAATAGTGCTCAAGTTCTACCATTGCTGTAATAAAGTTTAAAGCCTAAGTTAAAATAAATCTTACTATTAATTTTTATTCATTTCAAATAGATGCAGTGCAAAGTCGAAATGAGGTTTAAAGGAAGGAAGTGGTCTGCTCCAAAGGAAGCGAACAAGCCATTCTTTGTAGGCATCAAGGTAGGTATAACTGAACAGGGAGGAAGTATGCAGCTTCTCTAGGAAGGTGAGGGGGGATTGGGTATTAAGTCGAGCACGTTTGCCCTCCCTGAAAACGTTTTATTCGAGTTCCTCTAAAATGTTACGATTAACATACCTTTGTAAATGGGTCTTAGCTAACTCAGTGACACTCTTTTCCTTCCTACAATACTTTTTTTCTTATTAGTTTTGGGACAACCCTATTTAACATACACAGACTACGTGATTTCGTGATTGACCGCCTCTTTAATTGAACGTGTTGGAATTGAACCACATTTAACTTACAATGCTCAAATATTGAGACTCACCCTAAAATGTATCAGCGAACAATTTGGTTTTCGAACTGTTTTGTTTAGTTCTCGGACTTAATACTGTTTGTATAGGTAATCAAATGATTTCGAGTGCAATTTGGAATAAATAAGCACAAGTAAATTTTTCAAAGACTACAAAAAATTGCACGAGTACGTAGGGCGAATGCAATTTGTAATCTTTGAAAAATTTACGAGTGCTTATTTGTTCCAAATTGAACAAGAAAAATCATTTGATTACTTGTTAATAATATGCATGCAAAAATTTGAGTCTGATTCTTCTTTGATCGTGTTTATTTCTTGTCACAGCTAACTGGTCCCACATACATTGACATTTGGTTGAAAAATGACAGCCTTGATTGACATGCTTGTAAAAAGAAAACGTACAGACCAAAATTACCGTTCAATCGACAAAGATCAAATTCTGGAAGAGTTTTTGAAGTAAAGTACTACATGTAGTAAGAACTCAAAATTATCTTTATGACACGCACAAATCTTTGTCATCGAAAAGCAACCTTCTCAAAGCACAACTGTCTTCAACTCTCTATAAACGTGTTTTTTTCCCTTTTTTTACTAGAAAATGTTAATGTGCGTTAAGTTCATTACTCGAGAGTGGACCCAACGACAAACTTGGTTCAATGGCGTAGTTAAAAAAGAAAAAAAACAAAAACAAAAAAAAGGAGAAGAAGAAGAAGAAGTGAAGCGCGTCAGATAAGATAGTACAATACAATTTATTTAACGTCAAATACACAGAGGGCGGTTACCCGGTTCCCCGAGGCGGAGGCTCATGATCAATGTGTTCGACAAACTTAAAGCTAAATAGGCATAAAAAGAACTAAGAACCACACATATCTATGTAATTGATTTAATTAATTTGGTCGCGTCTGGGGTCACAGAATATCTTTGGACCTTCCATGCTTATCACAACGCCATAGTCAAAAAAAAAACAATGGGGGCCACCAGGCTCGCTTTTAACTCAGATAATGACGTAGTCATTAATCTGAGATGTAGGTATGTATGGAGCACTGCACTTCTTCCTTCCGTCCTTCCTTCCTTCGATATCTGTTGGCGTTGGCAGGTCGCTCGCGTCCAAGTCGGAAAATATTCATTGACTAAGTGATTTGTTTCTGTGGCAATGTTTCTTATTTGTGGATTGTTTCTGCACGGTCGATCGCTTTTGTTTCTTAGCTTGAAATTCTCACTGTTAAACCAGTTCAATGCTGTTCAATCTAAGTAGCCCCCCTGTATAATATGGACGTGAACGTAACACCAGGAGTCGCATTTATAAAGCTTACATGCGATTGTAAGGTCTATAGAGGAAAGACTATAAGCTTCATTTCTCCTCGATTCGATTGTAAGGGAAAGTCTTCATCTTTTTTCCTTCGCAATACTATCTGACACTGGTGATAACTTAGGGCTCGAATAAGACTAACATACTTTGAGTTCGAGATTGATCGATATGCTGGACGAATTCTCGAATGATTAAAAGCTCAATATGATTTTTTTCATCAGAAAGCAACAGTTTAACCTTCAAATAAGTTGTTGCTGAGTTCGTTCAAGTGGTGGGGAACTACTGTTTTACTGGAAATGTTTCTCATTCGTGCGTTTGTGGGTTTGATTACATGTTTGACAATGGCGTCATTCGTCATGAACTCAATGGGGCTGGAGTAGCAGGACACTGCTTAACTCTATGTAATTTCGAACGACTTCGTTTAGACATAAGCTATAAATGGACTCGCGTTATTTAATTAATACAATAACTCCATTCTCAGCCTTTCATAAATCATTATCCAAGTTCAGTGGCCCACAGGCACTTTGATTTTAGCTATAGGCACTTAAAGCCAAAAATTAGGGGTATGTAGCAACTTGTACTATTGCAAAGGTAACTTGAAGTCCGATAGAGATGACTGCAACTTGTTCACAAATAATTGTTGATACCAATGTTGAAAAATCGTTTGATAAATAGTGGTAAAACTGATCTGCAAAAAATTCTAGAAACTATTTCCAGCTACCTTAGATACTTAAAAGTATCTAATCACGAAGGGTGTACATATCTTGTTGAAAAAAAGTAAGTACAGTAAGAAGTAAGGATTAAGGTATAAATGAAAACTTTTCATTATTATTATTATTATTATTATTATTATTATTCGCAGATATACCCTTCGACTCTCAGGTTGAATCTAGCATCTTGTAAGCCAAATGTGGAGAATAAAATTCAAATTAAGTCAACAGTTCCAGTTCTTCGAGACCCGATAACCAGGAAATATCTGAATGTAACAATTTACCCCCCAAATGGATTAAAAGTGCGAGATGGGAAGTGCCAACAGCAGCTGACAGAAAATAGACTGAGTTTCGATGTGGATATTCTACCAGACTGCAAAGCCTTGCAGGAAAATCGCATGGAGAAAAAAAACATTGTGATCACATATATGGGAGGTGGAAAGTTTTGGATGGTGAACGGGATGTCTGTTACAATTTCGGTAAGATTTGTTTGTACTAACATTAGATCTTATTGATTAAGAGAAGCAATCAGCGCTCGCGCATGAACAAAAGTCTTGGGACAAATCTGCACTTGTGGCCTTTTTTTCACCTACGCCAAACAAACAGTCACGGGCCCACCCGCGTTCCCCACCCTTCCCCCCTCCCCCCGCCCGCCCCCTACAATGCTGGACACTAGTACTTGTAATTTCTCTTGTGTATTGGGTGATGGAGGGGCAACAGCAGCGCATTTTCAACAGGGTAACAATGTTTTTCAAAATTCTGCTGCGAAACACAGATAATTTGTGGCCTTACAACAGTGTCCAAAGGTTTTTGCCCACATCTGTATATATTTCTACAAACTTTTTTTTTTTTTAAAATCTAGATCTAGATCCCAACGTCGTCTATAATTTATGCAATTTCGGATAGAAGCGCATACACCACCTCCACTTCGATTTCTGTCACGTCTGATCAAATTATAACCCTGGAGGTGTATTAAAGTATCCGAATAGTATAGTCCAGTCTAGTCTCATTGTTCGAAATGACGTGGCTGGAGTGGAAGAAACCGAATTCTCGATTTTTCTATTGATTTGGATTCAATTACTATTTATGTGGTTTCTAAAATTGCCGGCCAGCTTGTAGACCCTTTTCCGGTTAAGGTGAAGTCCCCCTTTGTTTATACAGCTGGCATCGATATTTTCGTTGGAAACAAAAGTTTATTCGTTTGAGTTACAAAAAGACCGAAGTGTTTTGTCAACATTTATTATTATTATTATTATTTATTTATTTATTTATTTATTTATCATTGCGAAGCATGAGTGGTAAACGCTATAGAGTCGTTTTCAAGATCTTTGAAGAAGTCCTCACTGATCAAAAATTACCCGAAAATTATGGGTGAAGTGATCGCAAGAACAAGTCTCGTTTTCGAGATCGCAGAAAGGAAACCAGCACAACCAGCTCCAAAACATATCTTGAATACACTATCTGGTATCATTAGGATTAATTTCATCATACAGTGTTCGACTGTCGGGTCATTTGCTATTATGATGAAAAAAAGGATAATTTGAAAGGTTTTTTTTTTTCCTTCGATTTACTCCAGATCAAACATACAAAAATCTCTATTCTTTTATATTCTACTTGCCATACTCCATAGTTTAAGGCATTGGTATTAGTTTTTTTTTTTCATATCACATCTGGCTAGCGCAAAATGCATAATTTAACGATTTTCATTTTTTTAATCGTTTCCATGGAAATATCGATTGCCTTATGAAATATATTGAACCAAACTTCAATCCATTTCCAAACACTGGTAGAATTTTCATATCGATCCGATTAATTAAGAGGAGACTGTTATAAAGCTGACCTAAAACGCTTGGTATGGCCCCGCTAACTGTTTAGTAGCCCTTAACTATTGGAGGCAAAGCAAATTCATGCCCCGCCTTGATACAAGCTGCGAGGGTGGTGGATGAACCTCTGTTGAAATTAAATTGAACGTAGAACCCTAACCCTAACACTAAGGTTGAGAGAAAACTGACAGTACCATGCTTTTTTTTTTTTCTTTTTTTGCTTTCTATCCTTCTAGGTATACATTTATGAAAAACATATAGAACAATGCCAGAGTTATGGCGACCCACACTACCTCGGCATGGCTGCGATAGGGAATTCCAGGTAAACATTCTGCAATATGTCCCTCAATTAGCCCGTTATTATTCAGAAGCTGTCAGAGAAAGCGTTTTAACTTTTCGTTATAGGCAGTCACATGCATGTTTGTGATAGCAAATTAGGAACCTCGAAACGAGAGTTGTCCAATATAGACAGTCTGATACGTTTCGAAAAAAATAAGTTTAGGTTCTGTACAGTTTTGATAGACAATTAAAGACCGTTTTTGGTCCATTTACGGTTCGAAAATTGCATCTCTCATCTCTTAAGAGGACAGGTCAAATTAATCTAAATCCCCTTAATTTTCGGTTAGTATACGGACGGTAAACGATCTTCACCATCCGTTAAGTATGTATGAATCGACAAACCGTTTCAACCCCTTGCTCAGGTAAAAAGTGATTTATAGTTAAGTCCCCGTAATGAGATGCAATTTTCGAACCATACACGGACAAAAAGCGGTATTTTAAGGTCTGTCAAACTATTGTTTTTTTCGACCCGTACCAGGTTGTCTATATTGGACAACCCTCTCATAGATAACTCTGATTGTTAGCTAAGCCGTGAACGCCTAAAACTGACAATAATTATATATATTTAGCTAAGCCTAGAAGAGGAGCTCTCATAAAACACTAATCATCAACTAAACGCAATAACCTTCGAAAAAATGTACCAATAAGCACTTCAGCAAACCGAACGAATTAAACAAAAAGCAAAATCTACATTAACACACTATGAACATTTTTACATCTGAGTATGATAGCAAATCCTGTTTCCATGAAGGACGGCTGAAGAAAACTCGGTTACGATTGATTATCATTCAAGGTAAAGCCAAGAAATGCATTAATGCTCGGACGTACAAGAGAGAGGGAGGGGAGGGGTGGATGCCACACCTCCTATAAGGATTTTTCAGTTTTGAAAAGATGATTTACTCTAAGGAGCTGAAACTTTTAGTGGCTGTTCCATCATTCTCTGCGGAAATTTTGATATTTCAATTGTGTGTCCATCATTTGTGACATTGCCATGGCAACCATCAAACTACATGTAGTTTTGACCAAAAAAACCCAACTTTTTTGAGATAATTCTGTAGTTTTTTCTTCCAGTTTTCTTCACCAAATTGCAGAAATCCATGAATTGACATTTCATAAGCTTTCTGGCTTGATTTGGTCTTAATTTCCGTTATTTTTTAAATTCAAAAGTATTAGTTAAATCCAAGATGGCGGGTCCGATAACGTCATTTCACTTCATATGACGTCATTACCAACAAAATTGGAACCTCACGGTATGAATAGGCGTCATGAATCGTGAAACTTGTAGCCTAAGTAGACCCGTTTTATCCTTACTCTATTTAGTTTGTTTTGTTCGTCATTTCCGCCATCCTTTTTAGTTTCGAAATATGTGTTACGACATCCACCATTATATAATATTGTAATTTCATTTTTATAATATAGTAGCTTCTAAACCTTTGGAAAGCTGGTCTGGCCAGCCGAAATATTGCTTCAAATATACCAAGTTGTATCAGCCTTGCAGTACGTAATCCTTGACTTCTCATCGTTTTACTTTTCAAGTTTGGTCAGGAGCTTATCACCTAGAAACGTTTAACTTCCCTTATCTGTTTCAAACAATGCTGCCGATTATTCCCGACCAATGAGAATCACTCTTCTAATTTTTGCCCATATAAGGAAATTCTGAATAGCGCGCTCTTCGCGAACTCCTCACGAGAATCACTCGCAAAACAAACCTGTTCAAAATGGCGTCTAAAGCGAAGAAGCTCTCGGCCATGAAAATGAAGAAGATTTGTGTCTAGAAAAAAGCATTGAGAGAAGAGGTTGTACTTGAGAGAGTTTCTGGTGAGTTGGCAGAAACCTTCAAGGTTTATCTGGAGTCTTGTCGGCCGGCAAGTTTGAATCGGTAATATGTTGTAGCAGTCTGTCCGTAGTAATAAAAAGGTCAAGTGAGAGATTTTTTGATTTATTTAGTGAAAAGAGTTCTCTCGCGACAAATAAGCGGTGCGTCATGTTAGGTGGTATGAATATGGAAGGGAGGTATAAAAAAGTGAGGAAGTTAGGAAGATAGTTCAGGACAGTTGCCAAGATTGTATTATCGTATGGTCGATCGTTCCGTGTTATCTGGAATGTAACAAGTGGTACAGTTTGCAGTATGTCATAGAAGTTCAGAGAAACGGCAAAGCAAAAATGTCGGAGTTTAAGTATCATCCATATACGCCAGAAGATAAGGTTTCTTTTTTAAAGCCTGGGTCCGCTGCGGCTTTTAGTCTTCGGAAACGGCTTCGTAAAGTTCTAGATCCAACATGTAATCGAACGTTCACCCACCTGTTAGGATCGATGTTGGAGAACATCATTGCGAAGTAGATCGCAGCCATCGATGCTATGAAGGACAAGAAAAAAGAAAAAGTCTGCCTGGTTATAAGTAATAAAAATAAATATGTTTGAAAGAAGAGAACTTGTTTAGTCCCTTTCTCGAGTCACTCTCGAAAGTTTTTTCAGAGGTGGTAAACCAATCTGGCTACAACTTTTTTGGTAGCAAGCCGTCATGTCGTCAAGGTCATTCGCTTCAACAACCCCTAAGTTGAGGGAAATCAATGTAAGTGGCTAAAAATAAAATTGAGCCCTGTTCAAACGGCGCATGATATTCGATGATAGTTGTTTCTCTCCTAACTATCATCAACTATCACCAACTAAAATTCACATTGTCAAACGGCCTAAGAAGTTCGTGATAATTGACGATAGTTCACTGGCAGTCGCGCGAGCAAAGTCACGCGAGCAGCTAATTCCAGGCTCTTTCCACGTAAAAAATGTAAACACTAAAATGGCGTCGCGTGAGACAAACTTGTAAAAGTATGAATTTTTCGCGACGAAAGAGGGCGGCGACTTATTTACTGGTAATCGATTTGTTGGAGGAATGTACGGAAGATGAATCTCTGTTGACATCTTTGTTGTGATAATCATTTCGAAAAAAAAAATGTCCCAAAGGCAGGGCCGGGCCTCATATTGGTCTATTAGACGAAATATCAGGTCATTACTCCATCTCGCCGCATTGCCCTTTTTACCCGATGAACGTTTAGTGATACGCTTCTTTTTTGCGGCGTCTCTTCTAATTCTTGCGAGTTGATGCTTTCTTCGGAAGATATCTTCTCTATGTTATCTTGGTCTTCAATATTTTCTTTGTCATGATTATCATCTTGAATATAAAGACGAATTTCGGAAGCTGCAGCTGAGCCTCGCGAGGAACTTATGACGGCCATCGTAAACGAGCCCGCCGATTTTCGGGGAAAACAGCTGACCGAAAAACTATCATGAACTATCATGCGCGTGGTCAAACGGGAAAAACTATCATCGACTATCATGAAGAATTTGAACAAGCTCAAAATGAGTGATAGTTGATGATAGTCGACGGTGATAGTGCTTAATAGTTGGTGGTCAAACGGAAGCGCGCGCTTCAACTATCATCGACTATTGTTAACTATCATCGACTATCATGGGCCGTTTGACCAGGGCTTTACAAATCCAAGATTAATGCACTGCATGTATGTATCTATTTTGTAGACAAATGTGACAAACACGATTTTGGTCTTGCTCAACTTGCTTGAATATGTTAAAAGTAAAAGGCCTACTAATGAGTTTGCCTCAGACATTGCCAATGTCAATATCAATATTCAAACTGACGAGTAAGAGATTTCTCTTCACCTAGTGTTTAGGTGTTGTATGTAACTTGTATTTGCTTGGTATGTCCATTCCTGGGTTCTCAGTACATATGAGGCCACGCGAAGGGAAATCGGGCCCAATGGAAAGGCCTGGTTGAATCACGTGAAATGAATTGTTTTAGACATATTATATACCTCATATTATTTACAGTGGTTGCAACTTAAATTGCACACGGGAGATGTGAAAAAACGCTGACTTGCATCTACTTTAGAATAATGATTTAATTACAACGTATGTTTTTTGAAACTGGATATTTGCAAAGTATTAACAAGCACAAAAAAATAACAGCAAAACAGCACAAAAACCATATTCTGGAACCAGCGACCAACATTAAGCTCAGTTGTAAATTATATTTAGTTTTGATCTATATTTTTTAAACTGGAAGATTGTCGTTGATAGGCATGGTAAATTAGCCATGAATGAATAGCTCATGCTTTCATTGTATGTCCTCATAATATTTTATCGTTGCAAGTATGACAATACGGTTTCCCTTTGTCCTCTTGTTGAAGATGCCTCCAGGTGGGTTGAGCAATTATTATTTATTGATTTAAGCTTATGTGTAGCCTCCCGCTACTACTACCAAAACTCAAAGGAAAACAAGTATAAAGAAGTGGTAGATCAAAAATAATCAGCCAAAGGTGACTGAACAATAACATTCAAGAGCAGTAAATTTTTGTTTGAAAAATCAACTCAAGACAAGCAGAAATCATGATAGTGAATATGTAACTGAATGATGATAAACAATTATTGGATGAGGTTTTTGTGATATCCAGAATAATCAAGGTCGAGGTAGGGGTTATCAGCCGAAAGCGAAGGCTGAGGCTGATAACCCTTACCGAGACTTTGATTATTCTGGATATCACAAAAATCGAGTCTATTATACATATAAGGGACCCACTAGAATAACTTGAGACTACTGTCTCTTTCTATAGCCCCCTACCCTT